CCAGTACCTGGACAGGGAGCGGCCGGAGAGACGGTTTCACCTTCGCCTGATGATCCGGCTCTCGGAGGACACCGACATCGTCGGCGTCGCGGTCAAGGGCCTGCGGTCGCTGACCTCCCAGTTCAAGCTTACGACCGCGTCCGCGGTCGGAGAGCTCGCTCTGCTTCCTCATCAGCTGCAAGACGACATGGCCCATTCGTACGGCCCTCCACTGGACTGGAGCGAGGAGGCGTACGCCGAGCAGACCAAGTCGTGGCGCCCGGACCCGATCTGCTGCACCGACAGCGTCGTCTCGTCGCATGGAGTTCCGGAGCCAGTCATCGCCGTCGGCTTCGGTTGCTACGTCTCAGCGCCGGAGTACAACAACGCCTTGGCCGGCGGCACATCCGGAGCCGACGACGCTGCCGTCGCGGTTGCAGCAGGCAGAAACGCGCCGCCTCTGTATCTGGTAACTGTCATCGTGCCTCATCACCATCGTATGTGTGCGAGTGCGCGTGGTATCGTGCTTACTTATGCAGGCAAAGAAGAATGTCTAGGTGGTGGCGATAGCGTACAGCAGGTGAAGGAGGTGCTCAGGTCGAAGGCGATCGTGGATTGTGTCGTCCACCAGACAGAACCGGCCGACTACAATGTTACTTGCTACACTCCGCATGGTTTTGCGCGCGTTAGGCTGCGCAAGGCGACCGACGAACTGGCATGGACGGAACAAAGAGGCGGCCGCGGGGCTGGCAAGAGGAAGCGGTAGGAAAAAGTTCATTAATTTTGTGCTTCAATATCAACGTTACTTAGTAGTCGTCGCTGTAACAAACCTAAAAGAGAGAGGATGGCATGTTGTTTTCACAGCCCTATGTCCTTGGTTACACCGCGCCTGCGGCCTTGGTGGCCTTGAAGATGGGCATCTCCATGGCGAAGGTGGAGCGAGAGGTCCAGGTGACGCGGCTCCTCCGGCAGTCCGGCACCACCGGCACATCGTACACCTGCTGGGGAAGATAAAGATGGGGGAAGTTCCGGATGCCAGCTCACCTCTCCGACGACGCCCGGGACGTCATCTCCAGCATGCTCATCGTCAAGCCTCGGAAGTGGATGACCATCAGCACAGGTCGCTGGCTCCAGAGGGACATGCCGTCGTACCTGGCCATGGACGCCGCCACCATGCCCCTGCTTAATGACTAGCCCATGCCCATGCAATACTTGCATGGACTAGCAATTTATTATTAGACACGTCGATAGTTGAACCTTACTCCTGTTTTGATTTTGTTGACGTTAGTTAGCTCGAATTTGAGGTAACCAAATGTCAACAAAAAAGAAGAACAGAGGGGGTATAAAACAATATAACTTTCCAAGTATCAGGGTTGCAAATCATCTAAACATGCCTACATAACATACCTTCAATAATTGTAAGGTTACTTGCAAACTAATTTGTATTTCGATCCATCATCATTGTTTCTTATGCGAAATGGCCTCTAGCCTCGTGCGGTCAGCAGGGCTCTGCTGTTGAGAGATTCGTGCAAAGAAGCAAACAGCGTCTGTGTGGTGTTATCCATTGTGACGACTCCTCACCTACCACGTCGTCTCGAGGGCGGCATGCATCTGTTAATTCCTCACCTACCCCCGCTCTATCCCAGTTCGTGTGTGCTTCAGCTTCTTCCCCATCCATCGAAGATTCATCGATGCCTCCATGAAAGCTCGACTAGGCCGGCATCCATGGCGGCAAAGGAGCTCGATGGTTGCGTACGTAGGAGCGCCATCCCTATCCTGCACCTCCCTGACCACGCAGCATCGTCTTCACCATAAGCCTGCCCGGCTGCGCAATAACGCGGCGGCAGGGTCTCAACGCCATGCCCGGCTCGGCTCGCCGACAGCAATCATTAAGGCCCTGGCGGCGGCACCAAAGACGGCCACCACACCGGCAACCCATCCTGCCGGCAACTCGGCGCGTCCGGTACACGCTGTTCTACTACTTCCACGGGACGGCATTCGCGCGACGGGCTGTTCACGAAGCATGTCGACACCAGGGACATCCAAATCGAACAACTATTATACCAAATCACCATCAAATCGACGCAAGCCATAACCAAATTGAACAACGAATACTCCAAATGTGTGGCAAGGTTCTCTGACGACGCACATGGGCAGGATTCTTTTCACCGTTGTGTCCATCGTCTTCTTCCGCGCCGACGTGTCTACCTCATCTTCCTCTAGGAAAAATATTTCGGGAACAAAAAAATTTCGGAGGTCACCGATAAACATGAAATATCGGGAATTTCGGAAATTTCGGTGAAAAAAATTTGAATTTTTAAAAATGTTTTGACATAATTGCACAGGATATTGTCTGAAATCAAGAAAACATTACGGTTGCATATGCAAACAAGAAAATTTAGACACATTAAGGTGGTCAAAGACGGGATTTCGGTACTACTGTTCATTTCGATTTCATTTCGGACCCCGCCGAAAAAGATGAAATTTCGGATATTTCGGTGAAATTTCGCTGAAATTGTTTTCCTAGGTCTTCCTCAATGCGCCCGCGGGGCGGCATGGTACAAATGGCGGCTGGGCGGTGGCGCACGAAGCGCGCTTTCAGCCGGCAGCAAGGCATAAACAGGGGCGGCGTGCTGTTATGCTCCACGGGTGGCGCGCTGCCGCAGAAAGCTCTGCGCTCGTGGCGCGGGCACCCCTGGACGCCTAGCCAACCAGATGATGGTCCGCGGAGAGCTCCAGGTCGCGTAACGGGCGCCGACTCGCAGGACCAGAGCTGCACGCGGAGCCCAGGCCACTTTCCCAGCTCCCCTGATTCCAGGCATCCCCTTCCTCATTCTCTCCGCATCCCAATCCAAGAGGCATGAGCGGCGCGCGACACTCCGAGTATGGGCGGCGCGGGCAGAGGCGAGCTCCGTGCGTCACGGATGAACGCCGTGGCCGTGCCCTGCTCGGGCTGCAACTCCGACACGCATGTTGCGTGCGGATGGACTCCGGAATCTGGATGGTCGGCGCTGCGTGGAGTCCATGGACCATTGAGAACGCTTGGACTATTTTTTATCATTGATTAATTGGCGATGACGGGCCACCAGTAATAAAGCCAGCCGTCGCCGCATACGAATAAATGAGTTGTTGGTCCTTGTCGCCGCATACCGGGGGGACATCAGCCCATGTGTTCACGAAGTAATTATCATCAATAATTATCATCAATTCTATTACTAACTAACCATATGTTAATGTTGACTCTGATGTTAAAAGGCAGATGATAGAACTATTGAAAGCTTAAAACACTCAGATGATATATTTAATGATGTCACTATTATAGTCATCAAGCCCATCCCAGACGCACTGTGGCATAATTCAATGTGGCAGTAAATCTATCAACTGTGCGATAGAGAGCATACCTACGCTGGCGTGCGCCAGGGAGAGCACGGCGAGCGGCCGTGTGTCCAAAGCTGTCCGACAAATTCCCCACCTTGAGGGCTTGAGTAGGTGTAGGAGCAGAATTTAGAAGCTAAACCTTCTAGTGGTGCAGGACTTAGGCAACGATGGGGCAGTTCAAAAGCTTGTAAACTTGAACAACACTTACACCGTGTTAACCTTTGGGCGGGTCGCATCAAACCAAAGAGTTCAAGGTGCTCAGGGTGTTCAACCAGCCTGCTAGATGCCTTGGTCAGCAGCTCTTTGAGGTGTTTACTATCAATGGTCGTGCCGCTGATGCATGGTGGAAATCAGTGAAGAGACCAGGATGCTTTGTCAAGCCTAAATCTGCCGTTGTAGTTGATGGGGTGGTGTATTTTTTTGGCGAGGAGCAGTCCAAAGCGTCCCATTCCTCCAGACTCCATAATTTCATTCAATCTCGTGAGTGAGGAATGGAGGAGATACCTCATGGGGCCGATGAGTGACGACCCGGAAGCTATGAAGAAATACCAGAACAGTTTTGATGAAGTAGCTTTAGCTGTGCTAAAAGGCTCTCTACTTTTAGTGTATTACTACCAGCGCCCGGATATCATGGACCTTTGGTTTCTAACTGACCCTGAGAATGGAATTTGGGTGAAAGAGTACAGCATACGGCTGGTCCAAAACCCAAGGTTCCAATTCCTTGCAATGCCATTGTCTGTGCTAGATGATGGGAGGCTGATAGTTTATCAAGATGCGTCAGGAATGCTTCGCATATATAATCCAGAAACTCACAGATTTGCAGAAGTGCAGACGAGGCCTCTTGATTCTGTCAGTTTGTTTACAGGAAGTCTTTTAAGCATACATGAGGGTGATATGGTGTAACTAACTAATGTTGTAATGTAACATGGAATATCGAGTGAAAAAATATGAAAACAAGTTTTGCTTTGTATCATCTAGTTTCCTGTTGAAAGAGTTCTAGCAATCCTGTTTTGCCAACTTTATTAATTGTGATGCTTGAATGCTCATTTAGAGGACATCTAAAGATATGATGCTGAATTCAGTTTCTCGTGTGGAGGAGTCACACTCCTCGAAAATACTACTATTTGCACGGAAGTTGCTTTTTGCTTTGAAGAAAATTGAGATACAAAGCATGCACAGAATCTTCAGTGCCATTCGATGCCTGTAGGCATAAGCTTTGTTAAACGTCACAGAAAGAACTTTATGATCTTTCATAAAGTAGGTACACAGGCTTATAGCAATGTCTCCTGGATATTGTCATACGTCAAGATAAGGGTGTCCTTTAGGATCTCGTTTTTACTGGAGTAATGAATGAAAAATACGAAAAATTTCATCAATAATATCTAACATATATTAATCCACCCTATCCCTCCGTTTCAGAAATCTTAAAAAAAACTCGACCTGCAGAGGGTAAGCCACCCTCCGGAAATTGTTGAAAAGAAGAAGATCTTCTCACGCAGATCGAGAAAATTCCCGAACCCCCCTCCCCACCCTTACACAGGGGCCTTTAACCGTGTGAGATCGGTTCAGCCTTCTCTTATGCCTGTGCTTTGAGTGAGGAGGAGCGAGGGAAATTTTTTGGGCGAAAACGCGCCGGTGCGGCACCCGTCGATCCCAGGGATCGAACCCGGGCGGGCGGGCTGGCAACAGCCAGCTTTACCACTGAGCCAACGGTTCAACCGCGTTTCAGAAATCTTGAGAGATAGTAACTTAGTGTGCATATTTTTGAATGACATAGCTTATTCTGTTATCCGTGGTGCAGCTGTTACGCATGCATAAGATCTCCAAAGACATCTACTACGTGGGTGATTATATATAAACACAACGGCACAATTTAGTTGTGACCAAAGGGAGAATATGGTGCCCATAGACATATTATACAGTAGGACAAAATGACAGCGTTGAGGTGGGTACGCTGGCAGGCAAATGAGTGTGGCGATCATGCAAAAATGACTTGTGTGTATGATTGTTTTGTTGTCCTAAAATTGTAATGATTGCTAGCCCTTACCTCTATGAAAGAAACCGTATACTTTTTTGGCACCATTCATGGTACATTTTTTGAGGTAACCACAATCACTAAAAATAACAATTATTATCTCAAATGCTACTCTTTCATGTCAGTGAACTAGGCAGATATTTGAACTAATAATATACTTCAAATTCATCTCGGTGTCATTTTTATTTTGGAGTTAAACTAGACCTGAAATGGCAAAAAACGATTAAACCAAGTTTTAATTAGTTCCATCTAGTTCGTGCATCGAATTTCCCGGCCGTGCTGCCAATGGCCTCACGTCATTTCTGCCAGCGTATGGTTAGCTTTGGAGGTCTCGCCAAACCTACTTGTGGCTGGACGGACCACTCCAGGCACAAATGGTATTGTCATCTCGGTGCCCAGTCAGGTGTGGTGATCTGTGTACGTAGACTGTGGCTGAACATCCACTCAAAGGAAGAAGAATGCTACAATAGGCCAAACCGAATCGTTATTGTCCAATTGTTTCCATTTGGCATAGTGGTATTTGAATCGTAAGACTATATGCACTAAATACTTATTTGCAGGACTGCAAATCAGACCTATTGATTCAGTATGTTCACATGAAATTTGTTAAGCTTACAAGATAGTCATATCGTGTAGCATTGTAAAGTATTACTATTGAAGTTAGCTCCCATTTAATGTGTTTTCCCAATCACTCTCGTAGCTTTTGAAACTTAACTTTGTATGGATATTGCTAATTTTAGCCAACATAATTCCATTTTCCTTCTCTCTTAGTGTGAAAGGTATCATTGTGCATGGTTACTAAAAATAACAACGTTTAGGTGCAATGCTACATATTACACAACACCAGTAAGTTGCTTGCCATGTTTGCTGTGTGCCCTATCTGTTGTCATGTGGCTTGCATTCTTGTAAAACATACTTGCAACCTCATTAATCTTTAGTGAAGGCAAATCAAACATGCATATATAATATACTACGTGTGGCCCTTCATTTCATTACTATGTATATCTGATATTGAAAATATCGATATAATCTTATGAAGCACAAGGTCACATTGAGATAAGTCCTTGAAATGTATAACTTATCTCATTATTGAAACAATGAACCATGAAATAACCTCCTAGTGTTCTCCATTAGTTTCCACTTCATCAGCTCTTTTGAATAAGCATTCACCTGTAAGATAATGTGAGGCCGGCACTTATGTTTGATGTGTGATTGCTTGTTCACTTTTCTTAATTTTAGTTCTGTAAATTTTTGTTGTAAATTAAGACATTTGAAATAGAAAGTTATTTTCCTCTTGGTTTAGGTCATTGTACTAAAGAATTATTAAATATACACCAGATTGTATTAGTTTCCATTTGGATATGTTCCATTTGATTTTATGGTACGCTCCAAACCTGTTGACATCAGAGTATAGTAGTTTCATTGCACTTGAACATACCTACGCTCATTTCTCAGCTAGTATGATTTTTGAAATGATTCTACGCTACTTGCTGGATGAATGAAATATTGTACACAATATTGAACATTTCATCAGTTACTATGACCATATCCTCTTTATCCCCCCTAAGCTTCCTTTTAAAATAACTTGGACATTATAATTTATTGTACATATTTTATATATATTAGACATATATCTTACTCCGGTGTGCATTATACAGCTGTTTTTTAGCAAACTAGAGGGGTTTGCCGCTACAAAGTTTATTAAGAAAAAAGAAACCCAACTGTATAATGTACAAGCGTAAGAGACCAAAACAAAAGGAGAAGAATAAAATAAATGGAAAAAACATATGGCTCGTTCCATGAGTACATCAATTATATTAACGGCTAGACATGATGCGCTGTTGATCGATTCCTTGTACTCCCTTTGACTTCGATTGTTTATCTCCAGACAACAAAAGCCTATTCATTTCTAGTTTACATCTTCCGTCCTAACGTCAATAATACAAAGCTGGAGGTAGTCGTCCATATGCCGAAATTTAATTTGATCTAACGTGAGCAGGAGGTAGTTTACATCCCATTTATATTTTAATTGAAGTTTAATTTGATTTGAAATGACCAAGGAAAATATTTTACCAAGGATCTTTTTTGTTTGCTCGTAGGATTGGTTGTGTTATTACCTTTTGATGTCATGATACAACTTTTTATCAGAATAATGGCAATATTTGGACGGAAAAATTATAGTGATGCCGTCAGAGTGTTATGGATTCACTTTATACTTGCAGTTGTCTTATGTCTTGACTGGATAGCTGCATTTGTCTTTTGCCTTGATTGGAGAGCTGTAATACCTACAGTTTGTTTGGAGAGTTCAACTCCAGGATTCATGTTGGACCTGGAGTGCAGAAAAAAGCTTTTCTAATTGTGATATACCCTCTCACTACCTAAGAAATTCACATAGGTGACGGGCTAAGACAGAAATAGGTGACAGGCACCCGGCACGTCACCCCTACGCCGTCACTAATATCAAGAGAAAAGTAACGGGCATTTTTCCGTCACCCATTACAGTCAATAGGTGACGGGCTTCACCTGTTACCTGTCACCTATTAGTTCTTAAAGGTGACGGGCAACACATAAAGCCCGTCACCTATTGGTCCTTAGGGGTGACGGGCTACATGAGAAGCCCGTCACCTATTTAGCAGTTATGGGTGACGGGCTCCTTATGTTGCCTGTCACCTATTGAGATGAAAATGTGTGACGGTCTTCATATGTTGCCCGTCACCTTTTGGTGTTTGATGGGCGACGGGTTTCTTATGATGCCCGTCACCTATGTTCCCTACCCCATTTAGGGGTCTTCCTTCCTTCTGCTGCATCCAGGAACAATGTATTCTGAATTTGGCAGCCATCTTCGACATGATCAAAAACCATCACATGCACAAATTGTGCCCATCATCACATACACACAGAGTTAGACATGTGGATCTAACCATGATGTCAACGCCAAACATGTAGATCACAAAGACATCATAAATATATCAAACAAGTTGTTTGTCACATATACCTGCTGCATAGTAGAGTTTTATCATCACAAAACATCACGCATGTCATCACGAGCTCAGATTACAACACAGCTACTCATTCGATGTACAAAAGAACTCACCTTTCCTGTTTATACACTCACTCACTAGGAAAGAGGCTATCCTATCCCGAATGTTATGCAACATGGCATCCTCAAATGGCGACTCTGGAAATGCAATGTCCTGTAAGCATAGAAATCAATCGTAAGATATTAGAAGAACACAATGCCAATTGAGATGGAGTAGTGACAGGCAAGCAAACAACAGAGCAACATAAATGATCTGAAAAACAATTAATACTTGATAATCTTGTGCAAGCAGAATGAAAAAAAGGGTGAATTAGCATGCTCGTCATGAGAGTAGCAAATAAGAAACAGGAATAGTGAAGCTTGTGCAGAACTGAAATGTCAAATAAAATGACATGCCTTGATTGTTAGCTTCGGTTCTCAAACAGTTATGTACAGGCACTATTTCAGTTAAAAGCCTGCTTGTGTATGCTTCACTATGAGCTGTTGGCCTACTTTCATGGTGAGATGCACAACAATATTTTGCAGCTGGCATACTCAGGAATCGAGTAGCTTCTAGTTAGCTAAAAAAATGACACAGGTTCAGTTAGGTGTATTCTGTAGCTAACGATCCAACTGAACAATCCAAACTGCTCTCGGCAGCAAAAGGTTTCTGTTCCTTCACTTTGAAAAAAAAAGGTCTCAAAATGAGATGATAATTTTGAACACTGAATGTCTTGTGGCAAAATGATGAACCAGACATAGTACTACTGAAGTTGCAGGATGAACACAACTTAATTAATGAATTGGGGACAAAAGTGCTCAAACAGACATAATGAATTATTCACGCCCAACTGCCCATATGCCCCTGGTTCCCCATGCCCTAACCATGTAGCTAACTTACTTCACACTATGTACTGAATACAAGAGCCACTAAACAGAGTAAGCCCATGATTGATCTGAAAAAGAATAGCCATATTTGTTGCACCAGACAAATGAATACAAATAACTGAGTCCAACAAATCCTAGCTGCTTTCTTGTCGTAACCCATAAATTATGGCAAGAGATAGCAGCAGTGGCGACACTCCGCAAAATAAATTATAGAGGCAGAAGGAAGACGACTGATAGCAATAGAGGATCATACATAATTAAAGTCAAAATACCGTCCACAGAAAAAGTCACTTGAACATCTCGATGCTAAAAAAGAAAATACTAGTGCAATTACTTACACCGATGCTCTTGCTGGATAGAGATGCTTCTGCAATTATCAACATGTGTTGTGCAACGTAGAATCCACACAGGTTGCCTGGAGGTTGCTGGCAGCACTACAAAACAACAATTATTTTGAGGCCACATGCTAATAAGTGATTTTGAAATCTACATGATATTCGGGGAGACCAGGCATGTGTCACTTCAAAAAATACATACTGGGAATCGAGTGTCTTGTGGCAGCATACAACCATCTACCTTTGCATCGAATCCCGTGACGCACCGAGTATTGTATGTGAGGTGAGCCCTAGAAGGAAAGGACGATGCATCATTAAAGAAAAAAGATGATGCTCAGGACGATCGAACTTGGTATATGTGTAACTTATGTTAAGAATTTACTCATTTATGGCAGTGCTGATCTCGAGGTAATCACGCCCAAGTAGAGTGCCATCA